TCATTCCCTCCCTTTCTTTTCCCCCTTTTTTATTTATTTTAAATCAACATTTATTGAATTGCAACCTTTTACTAAATCCTCTACCAAAGACTCCAAATCACTGGTTAGTAATCCCCTCTGAATTAGACGTTAGGCATAACAAGCAACTAAAACAATATCTCTGCCTACAAGTTCAATAAACTGAGCAATTATTCAGTTGAATAAGCATTAACACAGTATAGTATTGGAGTGACGAAAACATACAACTAAAAGGAAAAAGATAGTCAATCTGAATGAGTAGAGATATTAGCAATAACAACTAGAGGATTGATTTAATAATGAAACCAGCTACAAAAATAAAGAGGAGAAAAGAGATCACTATAGAAGAAAATAACAAAGTAGAGAAAATACAAAAAAATAAAAAATAACAAATAAAAGATAAATATGGTTAGGTAAACATTGAGAGCTTACAGGAATTGGTTCGGCTGAACCAACACCATCGGCTCCCTTCATCTTGCTCAGACCCCAAACTCTAATAGAAAAACGAGGAATAAAATCAGAAATCAAGGAAAAAAAAAAACAGAGAGTTGTGACAGAGATTACCTGTTGAGATTTCAGCCTATGAACAAGTGGTGAACAGAGGGGTTTTGGGAAGTCGTGGGTCTAATGGTTAAGTCTAATATAATGGTGGGTGTAAGTGGAGGTCGATCAAAGCCATATCATAGGTATTAGGCAGATTTAATGATGGATCTGAGGGATTTCGGATGAAATTCGAGTTTTTTGGGCTTTTAGGTGTTTTGGAAAGGTCAGAAGGGTTTAATAGAGAATTTGGGGTGAATTAGGGTTCAGGTGGTGAATCGAGTAAAAATCAGGTGCTGACAACAGCTTAATACACATTACACATGAAAATCATTTGTTTCAATCATTAAATTCTCATTTAAATTATGTTAGTATTAAAGTCCCTCCTGGTAGCAAAGTCTGTTACAACATTAAAGTCCTTCATGACACCAAAGTCCCTTACGGTAGAATATTAATGTTTTGTGGATAATTGAATCACAACCTAGGGCACATTAAACATGGAAATCATTTGTTTCAATAATCAACTTCTCATTTGAATTATGTTAGTATCAAAGTCCCTCGTAGCAAAGTCTGTTATGACATTAAAGTCCTTCATGGCAATAGAGTTTCTTATGGCAAAATATCAATGCTTTATGCATAATTACATCATGACCAAATGCATATGAGACATGGAAATCATCTGTTTCAATTATTAATTTCTCATTTGAATCGTATCTATTTTCAAGCCCCTTATGGCAAAAAAGTCTCATGCAGCACCAAAAGTCCCTTGTAGCATCAAAGTCCTTCATGGCATTAAATTCCTTCTCAACTAAGATATTACCATTTCATTACTCATTTTGTAATATATTGTGGACTGTTATTTGCATCGTTGCTTAACACACATTAGACATGAAAATCATCTATTTCAATCATTAACTTTTCATTTGAATTATGTTAGTATCAAAGTCCCTTGTGGCATTAAAGTCCATTACGACATTAAAGTCTTTCATGGAACCAAACTCCCTCATGACAGAATATAAATGTTTAGTGGATAATTGCATCATGGCATTGCATGACCTTTGTTGATTTACATTGCGACCTAACAAACATCAGGCATAAAAATATCGACATTTCAATTGAAAGTCATTAACCTCTTATTTAAATTATGTTAATATCAAAGTCCCTCTTAGTAGCAAAGTCCATTATGCTATTAAAGCCCTTATGGCACTAAAGTCTTTCATGTCATCAAATTCCCTCGTGGCATCAAACTCCTTTAGGCATCAAAGTCTGTCGTGGCAAAAAAATCGATATCAATTTTTAGCCTTTAAACATAAGAATATCATCATTGCAATTATAAATCATTAACTTCTCATTTGAATTGTATATATTTTAAAGTCTATTACAGCATCAAAGTCCCTTGTGGTAATAAAATCCCTTACGACATTAAAAGTCCCTTGTGGCATCAAAGTCATTCATAGCAATAAAGCTCCACGTGGCCAAGATATTAGCATTTCATTGCTCATTCTTTTAGCATACTGTGGATTGTTATTTGTATAGCAGCATAATGCACATTAGACATAGAAATCATTTGTTTCAATTAGAAAACATTAATTGCTCATTTGAATTATATTTGCTTCAAAGTTCATTCCAGCACTAAAGTTCCTTGTGGCAACAAGGTCCATTGTGGCATTAAAGTCCCTTGTAGCAACAAAGTCCCTTACAACATTATCTTGTGGCGAAGAAATTAATATTGTAACATACTTCTCGTTGATTTTCTGACATACAATAGATTTTTGATTGCACTATAGCATAATGCACATTTTATCATCATCAGCATTTTTATTTTCTAATTGCAATATATATCAGGATTAAAAAATCATGAAAATGAAAATGAAAAATAAAAATGACGATAATGAAAACTTAGTAACAGGTCCTTCACCACCTTCTAAGTGTGTGGCAGCATGCCCATAATCATGACAACCTTCGACCATCCATTATTATGTTTCATTTGCAAATTCCCCCATCACTACCAAGGAGCACAAAGGAAAATAATAGCTTAGGACATCATATTAATCATGCATTATTATCTTAATGAAAACTGTCATGTACTTGAAAGCACAACACTTTGCACATCACTAGATTTATCGAGTGTTTCACCAGAGTTTTCGAGCGTAGACTGCTCTTGCATGAAAGGATGCCTCTTGCCTAACAAAAGAGTAGTGACACTATATTAACCATAGGACCTCTGTCAAGTTTTCAAAATGTTTTGTGAAGGCTTTTAAAGAAAAGGTTTTCTAAAGAATATATGTTTGTGTTTGTGATTGTGATTTGTAATGAGCTTATATATCCTATTTTAAGTTACTTTTCATGTGTTTTGCTTGGATTTTAATGCTAGGAGGGTCACTTTTCCAAAAGTAATTGGTTCTCACATGGTAAGTTGCTTTCTTTGTTTTCTACGTGTTTGTTTTTCTTTATGCCAAATGTGCCTTGGTTCCGAAAGGTTTCTGATATATAAGAGGGGTCACTTTGCCAAAAGTAATTAGTTCTCACATGAAAAGTTATTTTCAATGCTGTTTTTTACGTGTTTATTTTTCTTTATGACAAATGCGCCTTAATTCTATAAGGCTTTACCTAGAAGGGGTCACTTTGCCAAAAGTAATTGGTTTTCACATAAGTTGCTTTTATCACTATTTTTTATTTGTTTTCTTTCTTTTACGATAGTTGTAAGATGATTTCGAAGGTTCTTGATACCTAGGAGGAGTCACTTTACCAAAAATAAAATGGCCTATACATGATGAAACGATACATAGGAACTTTTTTCCTTCACATCAATCCTCTTTCCTTTTCCTTCCTCACATTGCCCCTCTTCCAATCCTTCTCTTCGCAAAAACCTTTGTATACTTCTTTTGGACTTTGTTGTTATGTAGTCTCCTACCTCACAATAAAGAAGGGCATCTGTCAACACTCGATTTTTGCTTGGTCCACTACTTAAGCCTCCAATTTACCCCAAACACCCGATCAAACCATTCCGATCTCTCCAAGACACCCCAAAACCCAAATATCCCGAATTCTAGCCCAAAAAACCCTTAAATCCATCGTTAAATATACCCAATAGCAATCTAATGGCCATGATCAATCCTTGTCTACACTTTGACTCTTAGATTAGACACTACCATTACACCCTATACATCCTAAAATACATACCCAGCAAGTCTCAACTCAAAATTCCTCTATTTACCATCTCATCAAACAAAGATTCCATTTTGACCCCTCTCTTTAATTGAAAACACCCACAACCAAGATTTCCATGATCCAAACACATCTGAGCCAATCATACAATATGTTTGAGCACCAAACACACCAAAACAAGTTTCAGCCTAAGATCCTAGGAATGGCAGCGAAGCGGGTTTGGGGTGGGGCACCCCTTCCCCGTCTCCACCTCGAAGTCACGATACCTTGCCCCGTACCTGCCTCATCCCCGATGGCGGGGCGGGGCATCCATTCCTTATTGGGGATGGGGAATCCCCAAATTTTCTCCGCTACAAGGCAATTACTTAAAAAATATCTATTTTATGGACAATTTATACATAGGATATAGGAATTTGGAGGTATTTTAGAATTGAATTATAATACTTTAGGGATAATTCAAAAATAAAATTATGGGATCCTAGGATTTTAAAAATTTAGGGAAAACTTAGAGATATTTTAAATATCAATATTAAACCTAGATATATTTTACTAATTTACCTTCGGGTTCGGGGAATTATATATAAAACCCGCTCCCTCTCCATACCTGGTTCGGGAAAAAATTATTTTCCCCATCCTTGCTCCGTCCTTGTTTAGGGTTGGGGAAAACCCACCCCATTCGGGGCAGGGCTGGGCGGGCCCCCAGTTTTACGGGGGAAATTGCCATCCCTATAAGATCTGCATGTTCCCCCCTCCATCAAACCAAGATTCCAGTCTGGATCCCCTTATTGACCCAAATTCCTATGATCATGACCCCCTTGAACCAATCAAAAATCACCATCAAATCCCAAACATTCCTAAATATCCACCAATAAAATTTCAGCATAGAATACCCTTGTTTACCCCTTGATTATACACATATTCCATTTTGAGGCTCCAAATTGACCAAATCAAGTCCTTTCTAGATCTACCCAATTTGGGACCAATTGGCTCAATCTAACACCACCGTTCAACTCAGAATGCCCAAAAATCCTACTTTGCCAAATTTCAATCGAAAATACCCCCGTTTTATCATTCATCCAAAAAGATTCTGTTTTGACTAATCTCATTGGCTTGCACATGTAAAACCCTCTCTTTGCCCATAACAGATCTTAACCCCGTGATCATAGAACGAAAACCCCCACCTAGAACCCCGGTTTTACCCAAATTTCCTAAAATTATAAATATACACTTCAAAACCCCCAAAAGTACAAAAATTCCATTAAACCTATTATAAATCCAATCCAATGTTTTCATTCGCCCGATTTCCCTGTTATACTATTCGTCCTCTTCTTCAAACCAAACATAGGCAACGACAGCGGTGAAGAATCCGACCTCCTCTTTGATTTTCAATCTCTTCCTCTCTTTCCTCTCTCTTTTTCTCTTTCCCTTTATCTATTTTTCTTCCTTTTCTTCCCCTTATTCCTCTACCCTCTTTACCCTATTCTTGGTCAATTGAGATCACCGCCGCCGTTGTGGCTTCCAGCAGCGATGGTGGATCTCCTTTCTTCTTTCCCACTCTTCTCTCTCTCTCTCTTTCTCTCTCCCTCTCTCTATCTATTTATCTATCTCTCATTTCTTCTTCTTCTGATTTGGGGATACACTAATTCTCTCCCTCTTTTGATCCAAAACCCGATGGCAATCTCCCATTCCCCAATCTCTTATCTTTATCCTCCAATCTTTTCCCCCTTCATTCCATCTCTCATTTTCCCTTTCGCCTTTTTTCCTACCCATCCCTCTCATCCCTTTCTCTCTTAGTGATCCGAACTGTGACGTTCCATTACTGTTATCTTCTTGATGAGAACAGAGGAGTTGTAGTGGCGGCACCCTTCCTTCATTTTCATCCATTTCCAACACACCCCTCATCGTTCATCATTTCGCCCCCCATGTTCTCAATTTTCACTAGTGAAGAAGAAACCACAGTAGCAACCATCATTTGGATCCGTTCCCTTCTTGGTCTCCAGTGTAAATCCCCACCCAGACAATCATTTCTTCTTACCAAGCTTCCGGTCTCTAGCGTAAACCACAGTAACAACCGACAAACCCTCGGATCTCTTGTAGCAACGTTAATCCTAGGATAAATCCATCCAAGTGCCATTAATCTCTTCATCTGAGAGCAGAGTGGGTATAGACCCCTCTGACGCATTCGTTGTTTGAAGGTTAGTAATTTATGATGGAATTCAATTGAAGTTCCTCTATGTATCCGTCATTCGTTCTCAGGCCACATCCTCCATCAGGTAACACACATTTTATTTTTCTCTGTCGACGACTAATTTTCACTTATTTTCTTTCATTGTGCTCGACCTTTTTTCTCCGTACCCGTGGCTGGGAAGGGAGACATCAGGTTGATTCAACCCCAGTAACTCTCGGTACCAACCCGGATTGGCTTCTTCGATTGCTCTCTGTTTTTCTTTTTTATTTTTTTAGATATGCAGATTTCATTTGAACCCCTTTTGTTTGTTCTGGCTTCCTGATTCCTAATCCTTTCTTATTCTCTTGGTTCTAGTATGTTTCTATTTTTTATTTGTGAACTTCAAAATTCTTTCAATTAGAATAGTTGAATATGCTAAATACTAATAAATCATTTTGTTCCATCTATTCTTTGTAGTTTATTCAACCTGTATCTATAATCACTGCTATGCTTAAGGTGTGTGCAACATATGTTTATGTTTGATCGATAATGCTTAGTGCAACATTAGATTCTGTTATGATGATTTGGACTGAATAGCTGTTGTCTTCGGTTTTCCTCCATTTCTTATATAGAAGAAATTTGAATTATGTTGTTTAATGGAAAAGAATTATGCAGATTAGGACGAGGGAGAGTGAATGGTAGGGGTAAATCAAATCTGAAAATGTAAGGAATAAAAAGGAGTAAAAAATATAATAAAGAAAGGTGGCAAGAGATGCGAGAGTGTTAACATGTGTTTAGGAATAAGTAAATAGGTTTAGGGATAAAATAGATGCTTTTTTATAGACAAAAAAGGGAAATAAGCTTTTGAAACGGAAACAATACTAAAAAATGATGAAATGAAAAATATATAAAAAATAAAAATATAAAATATTAAAAAATAAGTTAATTAGAAAATAAAAGCAAAAATATAAATAAATAAAAATGTAATTAGGGGAAACCTTTTGTGTTTTTTTTTTTCTTTTATATATGCTTCATTATTCTCATAGTCAATTCAATAATTGTTATTTGTGTTTGTGCTTGCTGATATCTCATGTGGGCTCCACTTATTGGACCTAGGAGAGGGGTGCCTAACTCCTTCACTCTCCCATCTAAGTCTTACTTGGACTGGTTAGCTGGTGCCTCGGTCTTTGGGGTCACTATCGAACAAAGGTTTTTGAAAGTCATTCTCGGAGGTCCCATCAGCTCTATTTCCTCAACTAATGGGTGAAGACTCCAACTCAACCCAAGTGAGTTGTTTTCTGATGCTCACAGTACTCTTGAATAAAACTACTGTACAATAGTGCAATAGTTAGGGGAGATTATGGGTCGGGCCGGGTCGGTTCCGAGTTGGGCTTTGCACTTATGATAAGGGTTATAGCTTAGGCCCGGGCCCAGCCCAACCCAGGGTTCTGGGCCTGAAACATAAGCCCTAACCCAGATTTACATGGGCCCGGGCTGGGCCTGGCCTGATTTTGGGCCAATGTCTTTCATATATAAAACATTACATATCTATAATATTTTATATTAAATGACATAACATGCATATAAACTGATTTTATACATTTTATAATATAAAATATTACATATAATATAAATTGTACATATCATGTTATAATATTTATATATAAAATATATAATCTATTATAAAATAACATGTATACATATGTATACATTATATGCAAAATATGTAAGTTTAAATACATGCGGACCGGGCTGGGCTTGAAGTATTAAGCCCAAGCCCAGCCATAACATTTGCGGGCCTGATGTGGGCCCGACCCTAGGCTGGGCCTAAACACAAAACTCAGGCCTAAGCCTGGAATTTCCAAGCCGGGCTGAAATGATCACCCCTAGCAATAGTGGCAATTCAGTGACCTCTTGGTGGAGCTTCTCCTGATCGGGCATCAACTTGGAGCTATAGCCAATTGTGTTGATGGAACCGAGGGGGTTTTTATTGTTTCAAGCATTTCAGTGACCTGATTTGGGTTATAGTGACAATGATAGGCATGGAACCGAGAAGGTTGTGCATATGAGGAAAGATGGACAAGATTTAACAAAATGGTAAAACTAACTTTTCATCCTTTCTGTTAGAATTTAACGCTGACAAAAATAGTAAGGGTGATGCAAGACAATAGTTAAACAGTAAAGGTATAGTTAGTCAGTTAGCTAAACCATAAGGGTAGTTTAAGAAATTTACCAATTTTTTAATCAACTCAATTATGCAACAATACATTTTTACTTTAAATTAATATAGTTATATTCAACAAAAAATAAAAGTAAATTGATGTACGTTAGAAAACACAATCTGTATGGATATTGGGTATTGAAAGGTACGTAGTTGGTAGTGAGGATCAATTTTGTGTTTATATAAGCTAAATGTTGCAACAAAAATATAAAAGTAGTTACCTTACATGGCATATGAGACCTGTTTGGGTTATGGTTGAGCTGGTCCCAAGTGCCACGTGTCACCCCGCGGCTGCCTTATCACTTTGCCCATATTGGCACCATGTAAGATGGATAAGCACAACCGACATAGGAGAACCCCGTACAGATAAGGAGGACAGCTTTGCCAGGGACTAGGATTTATCCCAAAGACCTCGGCGGACAACCTTATCCCAACAACCCTAGAAGCCTCATCTGAATAGGACATAGATCATCGGCTATAAATATGCAACCCTGCTCAAGGTAAGGGACTTTTTTGACTCTCCAGCACCCATATTGCTATTCTACTTCCGCTTGGACCAGCACGTTTCTCTCGACTGCTCGACCCGACCACCTACCGTTCTTGACTAACTTAAGCATCGGAGTGCCTACCCGAGGAACAACTCCTCAAGCCACTGATTATTTTCTTGTTTCAGTTCTTGGTGTGCGGCTTCATCCTTCCACCTCGGCTTCGCCAATTGGCAAGATCATCTGATTGCGATCTTGGTTCGGGACACCTCGGATTGGACAACATTAAATTGGCGCCATCTATAGGAATCACAAAAAAAGTCATTCCCGTTTTTCCTTCCGCGCAATCAAGAAACATGCCAAGAAACACATCCGACTGCTCTACAAGTTGATCCCCATCTTGGGGATCCCACTTTCACCGTAGCCCTCCACCTCCTCATAAGTCCCAATAGCAGCCTCTACTGCAGATCACGGTTTACCCTGCCCTGTTCCAAGTAGTGTAGCTAAAGGTCAACCAAATGCTCACGATAATGTAGACGCTGGGACAAACAACACAACCACCTCAAACTGTCCTCCCTCCTATCTAGATGCTTAACACGGCTGATCCTTGCCTTGAGGACCCCAAAAAGAGCCACCTAGATAGTTATAGGGTGCAGTCTGCCAAGTAAGGTAGCAGTCATCAAGAAAATCGGATTCCTCAGCCTGATCCCGTGCATGCGACGACTGCAGAAAGACACACCACGAAGAAGACCACTCTGCCCGAATTCCAGGGAAAGAAAGGCTTAACCAACGAACAGAACAACAACCAGTCTCTATTGCCGAGTCCAACTTAGTTAGAGACCACCCGATGATGCCCAAGAAAGAATGAACCATGTACACGGTCCCAGGCGATAGGGATGCAGAGATTGGGGAGCTCAGACAACACCTGATCGAATTGGAATGCAGCCAAGCTAATTGAAGCGTGACTCCTCCCACAGTCTGGCCCGTGGAACCTAACAATCAATCACCAAAGAACCAGGCTTCACCCAAGACATCATTGACGTGCTCCCCCCAACCAGTTGGCGACCCCTACAGTTTGAGAAGTACGACAGAGCCACATACCCCAACAATCATATTGAAGGTTTCAAGGCCCTAATGTGTTAGACAGTGTATGCCCTTAGCTCCAATCAGAATGATGTACCTTATGACATCTATTGTAAATGAATAAAGTACATATTTGATTCATGTTATTGTGGTGTGTTTCTGTGTAATACCCTTAAACTGGACACATATGAGACTCGTGTTAGTTTAGAATGTTCACAGCCGTTGGATAAGTCTGGGGAGATTTATCCTGTCAAGGCTGACACTGATGTGCCGCCAAGTTGGTTGGGGTAGCCTGTCTCAGCTGCTAGGGTGAGACCCGAGGTACAAGCAGTGTAGGTTTACTTGAAACCCTAAAACGGACAAGATTTCTAGTATTGCCTTGGACCTTGGAGATTGATGGGCAAAACTAGAAAATTACAACTAACCCCTAGACTCGATTATGATACTGCACTAGGTGTCGGATTGGGCTGTATTTGATATACCAATCAGTGAGATCCTTAGAGGGGGTCAAAACCTGTGTATGTTGGGACAGTTTGAGAATTCATCTGAGTGGGTGATCATAGTGATAGGATCAGCCCCTTTGTCGGACAAAGGTAATGATCGGG